GCCGCCGCTGCTGCTCTGCCTTCCTCTCCTGCGATCCGTGTTGCCGACCGGAACGTTGGAACCGCTGGAACTAGCACCGTTCGTAGCACTGCCCCGCCTCCTCTCGACGCCGCCGCCGCCGCCGCCACCGCCACCGCCACCGCCAATCTCCTCCTCGTTGGCGTCCAAGAACCCGGCGGTCCCTCTCTCTTTCCTTCGTTTCTTCTCCATGTTCGCGTCGACGACCGCCTTGTAGTCCTCCCTCGTCGGTATACTGGTCATCGAGGCGACCGCTTTCGGTATCGTTATCACCGTCCGGTTGATCTGCGGCATGATGATCGGCGCCGACGTGGCCAGGTTACCACAGCCCGGCTCGTCCATGTTCATGTCCTGGGAACAGTACTGCCTGAGCAGCTCCTTCTTGCGCATCCGTCGGAGATTCGAGGTGCCGGAAGCGATGGAAGCACTGGTAGCCGCCGGGGCGATTATCACGGGCGCCTGTTGCGCGAGCGGCGGCACCGACGAGGTAGCGACGTAGTTCGCGTCCAGGAACGGGCCCTTGATCTTCACCTTCAGCTGGTTCCTCGAGTCCGTCAGGGAGACCTTGTTCGCGTCCACGAAGCCGGAAGACGAGGCGTCGATGCTCGCGTCGAAATTCGGCTTCGAGCAGTCCTCCTGCCCTTGCTTGATCAGCGCGGACCTCAGCTCCTTCTCGAGGTCCTCCTCGATGTCCGGCAGGGCGGGATCGTTCGCCGAAACGCTGGTGAACGTCCCGAGGAAGTGGTTCTCGTACGTCTGACCGTGCAACGTCGAGGAACTCGAGGCGTCGAGGGTGGAGTTGTAGGTTCTCATGTCGACAGGGCCCGGGATAAGGGGTAGGACGGTGTCGAAGCTTCCGGCGTTCGTCTGACTCTCCACGACGACCGAGTCGTCTCCGCGGCCCGGTGAGAATCGCCTGTCCTCCAGGTACTTGCTCTTACTGCCTCCAGGGCTGGACAGCCTCGACTGGACGCTTTCCCCGGAAGCCATGATGCCCGCGGAATCTCTCCTATCGACACCGCCGGCTGCCGCAGCGTCCGTCGACTTCTTCCGCTCCCTCATGGTGCGCAGGTCGGCGATGTTCGCCTCGCTGGTTGAATCCTCGTCCGAGTCGAAGTCGTACACCGTGCCGACCAGTTTGTTCTGAATGGAGTCGTCGTGCTGCCCGACGACGCTCGCGCTCGCGACCAACGAGAGACCGGAACTTTGCCCGCTTCTACCCCGTCCTCTGCCCCTTCCCCGTCCACGTCCCCTGTAGCCGGAGTGTTGCGCCGAGTTCTTGGCACCCCTGCCGCGTCCCCGCGCCCCGGCAACGTTCTTCTGGCCCTCCTGCCTCGGAGATTTGCCCGGTGACTTTCCCTGCAGAGACGTCACGCGAGCGGAGGTCCTGGTGGGTTTCGAGGGTGACTTTTTCCCAGGATGCTGTTGTTGTTGTTGTTGTTGTTGTTGCTGCGGTTGCTGTTGCTGCTGCTGATGATGATGCTGTTGCTGGCTCTTGCCGTTATCTGTTAGCGCTTCCTGGAGGTTCTCGACGACTGTTCCACCGGTCGAGTCGCTGGCGTGACTCTCTGCAGCTACTACGGTGTTTAAGAAGTTGATCGGCAACGAGGAGGGTGAATCGGCCACTTGCGTTTGCAATTGTTGTTGTTGCTGCTGCTGCTGTTGCTGCGTCCTTTCTATGGGTTCCGCGACGGGTGGAACGGTGACTTGCGGAGGTGGTGGTGGTGGAGGCGGTGGAGGTGGAGTGACTATCTTAGTAGGCGAGACCATGGCAGCGGTGAGTGCCATGTTGTGCGAGGAAGACGTGAACGCTGCGGTGCATGGCGAAGCTTGTAGATTCAGCGAATCCTCCAGCGGCTTCACGTGCGGCAACAACGATTGAGCGCCTGGGAATGCTGCCCCGAACGCCGGTGGGAAAAGGGCCGGCCCGGGAGACGGGTAAGGTAAAGGGGCTGCGCAGGACTGGGGCGGGAACAGGCTGACTGGGCCAGTCCCGTAACTGGAGTCTGCATAATACGTTGTCTCCATGGAACACGGTGGGAAGGGAATGCTCGGCACGTTCTTGTACGGCGGAATGGAGTGATCCTCCGCGGACGAGGCGGAGGTGATCGATGAGGACGTGGACCTTCGAGACGGCAGAACCTGACTTTCCGCCCACCTGGTGTCGGGACGACCGTTTATGTCATTGTACGGGGAATTTTGATCGTACTCTTGCTGCCTGACTACGTCGTCCTCCTTCTCCAGCACCCTGTCCATCATCTCGGCAGCCTGCTGGTCATCCTCCGAGGCTGGCAAACCGATCAGATGCCTGTTCACCATTTCCATGGGGTTCTCTTCGGCTAACGGTTGATCGAGCATCGTCCTCTCGTGCGATTCTTGCTGACCGTGCAGGATCGAATGCGACTGCTGCAACAGATACTGCTCCTGTATACTGCTGGGCGCGTTCAGATGCGCACGCGCGATAGCAGGCTCGTTCTCCGGGATAGTTTCATTGGGGAATTGATGATTGCCGTATCGACGGTTCTGCGTCTCCATCAACGCGTTCAGGTGTTGGACATCGCTGAGCTCGAAACTGTTGATACTCGGCGGCACCCATCTCTCGTCCGTCTCCGCCCGATCGAGCTTCGATCGCTCCACCAAGCTCACTTTGTTCGCCTCGCGGTCCTCCTCGTAGGCTGCGGCGTACCTGTCGCTCGAGTAGCAAGCCTTCCTCTTCT